ATGGTGGAAGATCAGACAGTGAATAAAGGTCTTGCAGACCTCACAATCTTGAGTAGGAAATTGGAGTTGATGCTAAGTGCCTTCGAGTCACTTCTGACTCATAGCAACCCTGTATAGGGTTTCTGAGGAGCGGATGGTGGGTTTGAACTGCCACACAAAAAACATGGACTGGGTGATAAGAGTTGTGGAGGATGAAGAGTTTCAAGAATGCTACATATAAGAAGCTTCTGAGATAAGGTGCCATTGATTGCAGACTGAAAAAAACGTATGAATATTTGGGAGAACATTCCAGGAAGATTCTAAAGTGAGGACATGCCTATATTTTGAGATTTTTCGAGGCATACCAAGGATGCAGCAAATCAGGCTGCACATTGAGAAGGGAAGAATGTTACAATGTGAAGTCAGACAAGCAAAGGGTGACAGATGGCACAAGGTTCTGTCATCTGTGGTAGCATTTGACTTCTGCCCTGTGGAAGATGGTAATCCAATACAGGGTTTCAACAGTGGATGTAGTTCCAAGATGGAGCTCATGTATGATTTACATGACAGAGTAGATGTGAATTATCAAAGATAAAGAGCAATTAACAATGACTTCAAGAATTAGGACTGTGTTTTGAAGAGTGGAGGCACCATTTACTGAACTGGAAAAAAAAAATTGCAAAATCAGAGCAAGATTTTGTTTTCAGATTTGTTAAGAATTAGATGCTTATTAGACATCAAATGGGCATGCTATGGGTGCAGGTGGCTATGGAAGACTAGAGTTTGGGGGAAAGACCTTCACTAGAGACAAACTTTTAAGAGTCACAAGAACACAAATGGCTTTTCAAGCTGTGAAAGTGGATGAAACCTCCAAGTTTGCTTTAGAAGGGAAGTGTCAAAATTGAGCCCATGGCCACTTCGGTTGAGACATCAGAAATGTGAGAAGAGAGCAGCAACAGAGTCTGAAAATAGGCAGGCTCCAAGAGAGTCGTATCCCAGAAGTCAAGTGAAGACAGTGTTTCAAGAAGGGAGAAGATAGCAAATGTAGTCACTAAATTGTCAAGACAAAGACCATGAAATAACTGCTTAACAGCATGGAGGTGGTTGTGTTTTGATGGAACTGGAGATACAAAGGATATGAGATTATTTATGCAGCTCCAAATTCTTTTATAATCCTTTCAAAACGTAGAAATCTTTGTTGCCTTTCTAAATGCTGACACATACTTAAAATTTTGTTTTCCATTTGGGGACTGTTCGTATAATTATTGGGGTTCCTTGGAAGTTTATTTAAGACATCTAGTTTCTTTATTTGCAAAACTTTACAGATGCACTGGCTTTAACTTGTCTAATTCCTTACCTCCAATTATTTCCTTCCCATTAGAAAATAGATGAGTTCATAAAGTTGGAGAGATTAATGTAACAGGAAAATTCCATTTTCTCTGGGAAATACAACTCAGTTCAGACAGAATTGTTTGAAAGACATTTTTACTTTAACTATTTATCCCATTTCCTCTTGGGGCTGACAGAGATCAAATATCAAAATGCTCCAGGTCAGAAATTAGTTATGGGTGTTTTTTTTTTTTTTTTTGACCAAAAGCAAAGTGCTTATATTAATTCATTCTCTTGAAACCAATAATGTGGTAGTAATTAGTGCTGTTTAACTGTGTACTCCCCTCTTCTTAAAACAGTTCTGGTTTATATGACTCTGTATATCTAAGTCATAGATCCTATATTTGCTATCCTTTGGAGAAAAAAAAAAAAAGAGAGAATAAATGTGAACCATATAAAGAATTGAAACTCATATAGTCAATATAAATCTCTTCAAGTACCCTGTAAATGTTCATGGTTGTATTGTTAACAACAAACTTCAGTATTGACTCATGGCGACCAAGGAGAAGTTTTCCAAGGAGAAGCTGGTGAGCTTGAACCTCCGACCTTGTTGTTCAAACCAACCTTGTGGTCTAGTGCTTTAGCCTACAGCGTCACAACAGGTTATAAATGAAAATGACCCTACATTTCTTCCATATTCTTAAGCTAATTTATTTCCTTTCAACCCATAATCTAGAGTAGAAATTTATAGAGGGCATGAAATTAGCAAACAGTAGGGGTAGTTCATTGGAAAAAGAAGGTATCAAAGAAATTTACCAGATTTAACTCACAATTTGAATTGTGAGACCTGAGAGAAGAATTCATCTTTCTTGTATATGGTTTATACAGGTAAATTTTGGTTTTGAATGAGTCAGAATTTGCTTTTGATGCCTTCAGTATGTCTTCTCATTGACCTTTGTGTTGTGAATGTTCTTGCAATGTGGTAGACATTTGCTTAAATATTTCGTTATCCTTTTTGAAATTCATCAGTCATTGTTAGAAGGATGTATTCTATATTATATTCTATATTATGTCACAAGGCATGCTTTTGACTTTTTATCTAGTAAACAATTTGTGCTAAAATTTGGATGTCTTAATTCCAGATTCAACTCAAACAAAATAAGCAATCAACTAATCTTTACTAAGTTGAACATAAACGAAAACAGAGAAGTGAAAATATATTAGGAACAGTATGTATCCAAGAACCTATTTAAGCTATAGACATCAGACTAACTGGACTGTTTCTGACCCTGAATTGTACCCTACTCACTTTGTTAATAGACCCCATGTTCATTAAGTATCATCAATGAGTTTTGTGTGGGCAATGCAACAGGTGTATGCGTTTTTCCTTCATTTTGTTGTTTAATTTGCAGCAAACAGAAAATAAGCTGGGTTTTCTTTTGATCCAAGTATTGATGTTTTAAAGGTTGTACACAGTATTTGTTAAAAAGAACTTATAAGAGTCCCCAGTGAATAGTTTTCATCTTGTCTAGATGGGTCTGGTAGAAAGACATGGACATAAGATTCTTATGATTCAACAGTGAGTAATTGTTATCATGACTAATTGCGACTCTCACAATTGTAAAGGTAGAAGTTTTGTGACAAAAATGGGGGAGTAATCTTACAGTCCAGTAACAGAGGACCCTAGGACCATCAAGGGAGAAGAGCACAAACAGAATGTGGGACCTTATCCAGAGAAGCAGCAACACCAGAGACGGAGACAGAGATGGGGACATGGAGAGAGGGAGCAGCTGAGGACTCTAGATTCATGGGAAGAAAGGGACTAATAGCTGGTGGCCAGGAGGCAGGCTTGCAGAATGTGCCCTTTGATGGTTTAAATTATTATATATGCCTGAGTGTTTTTTGTTTTTGTTTAAAAAAAAAAAAACAAGCTAAAATGAATAGAGAGAAATACTGTTAACTGATAGTACATGGAGGGGATTATAATCATTGTAATGAAACAAAGTATATGATTTGTTAAGTGTAAAACTGATGATCTGCCCTGTAAACTTTCACTCAATTCACAATAAAAACTTTTTAAAAAAGCAAACAAAAACTGACTAGACATGTGGTCTCAAGAAAGGGCTCAATAAATTCAATATTGAAAGACACAAGTCCCATAGATAGAAGAGAAAAAGCTTGGTTATATTTGGAGTGATTTTGGTTATGACCTGAAAATTATGTTTTTACCCCTGTTTTATTACTCAACTTTGGTGGGTACCAAATAAACTATTGAGTGTTATTACAGATCAAAATTCAAATCTTAATGTTAACATTCACTGGGAGATTTGAGTCAATTAACTACCTTCTATGAGTTTCTGTTTCCTCAACCATCAAATGGCAACATCCTAAGAATATTATATAGAAGACAAATCAAACAATGCAGGGAAAATCATGATACAAAATATGTTAGTTGTTATCAAGTCAGTTCCAACCTATGTTAAACCCAAGTGTATAAGAATAGAACTGTGCTCCACAGGGTTTGTAACAGCTGATTTTTCATAAGTAGATTACTGAGCCTTTCTTCAGAAGCATCGCGGGTTCGAACCTCCAAATTTGTGGTTACCATTTGACTTTGTTAACTCTGCCACCCAGGGACTTGAACGTAAAATATAGGCCCTGGTAAATTTTAGTTGGCAATGAAATAATGTATGCTATGGAAACAGATACTAAATTTGACAAATGTAAAAAAAAGCATGTAATAGCACAAAATATTTTGAAACCATTTTTTGAGTTTGAATATTTATCAGTTATAATAGAAAAAGTTTTATTCATATTCTAAATGCTTAGCATAAAAACATATATGACTGTAAAGAACAGTTTGGAATTTGATTCCATCATTAGGAACCATCAAGGGAAATGAAATTTAGAGGATTAATAGTATGATAAAAATATAGCTAATTCATGATATGAATGATAATATTTTAGGTACCATTTTAATAAAGAGATTATTTATCCACCCAGTATGAAAAATATCATATTGAACTTTATAGGTGAATAATGATTCTATTTCCTTACTATTTAGGATTTCTATGTATCTATCCATCCATATGTATGTGCTTGTATATCCTATCAGAAAAATGTATATGAATAATTATTAACAATATCTCAAAGTATAGCAAAACTTAGAATACAGTCACTTTTAGCTACCTTTGAACCTCACCTTCATTATACTGTGACATGGGAGAAACATGTGTTTTGCCCAACAATTTAATCTGTGGTTTGAGTTGAAATCACTGCTGATAAATTGCTAATCTATAATACAATCTCAGGGTTGAGTTGAACAGATTAAATATACTTGAGATCTCTAAGTGACTTCTGCATAGGTTTGTGGGCCTAAAAATGCTGTTGATTATACACTGCGATGTACAATTAATGACTAATTGTATTCCAAGCATTTTGTTCAAACAAATATACACACGGCAATAAATCCCAATGTCTTCTGAGGATGATAATTTGAATAATTTAAGCCATTGCAAACCCTATAGGACACAATTTAGCTCAACAGCAATTGGTTTGGTTTACATGAAGATGTAAGACAACCTTAGTACAATCATGAGAAAAAGCATGGTCCAAGAGCAAGCTTGCTTTATAAATGACAAGATGGTGTGGTGTCTTAAAAACAAAACAAAAAAACTGGCTACAAAATTAAGTGTTATCAGACTTTGGTTTATTGTAAAATTTATCAAACTTTTTCATGTAATCCCTGACCCCTTGCTCTGAAAGCAAAAGCAAAATCATAATTATTGCTTATTCATTTCCCCCTACTTAACTTGTGCCATTGTAAAAGAAGGGAGAGAAATCATTGTAATAAATAAAAACACAGAAGCAAGAGAAAAAAATAAATCAGTCCAGAAGAGACACAGCAGGAGTAACAGAAATACTATTAAGCCATTTCAAAATAAGCCTCTCTTAAAAAAAAAAAAAAAAAAAAATCACACCAAAAATAATAGCAGCAGGAAAGAAGGATAAAAACAAATAAATTGCACACCAGTCCCATACAAAAAACTAGGTCATTAGCCAAAGCAGTAGTACTCGGAATCCAACTTGGGATGCTTGTGTAGTGCCTGGGAGTCTTCGATTATGGAACTGTCACTGAACTGGTCCAAGTCTGAAGGGGTCTGATGTCCTGGGACATCATCTGCCAAGGTGTCCAGATAGCTCCCCACGGAGATGCCATCCAGCCCATCACTGCCGTCATGTAGGCTGTTGTAGCTGCCACGTAAGGAGGTGCTCTGGCTCTCCAGTAAACTGCACAGGCTGCCACTGAGACTGCTGCCTCGACTGGTAATGGTGGCCTTCTCTTCAATCATCCACTTGATGGACTCAATGCTCTCATTAATAATCAGCAACTGGCGCATGAGCCTGACGTCGGTGGCTCTGAGATTTGCCTGTGAAGAAGAGGGAGACAGGCAAACCGCTCTAGTTATTATGTGTTACAGAAAGACGCATTTCATTTGGATCTTATATCCTGTAGTTTTTAAATCACAGGATAAAATACAAGCTCATTTCATACTAGGATCTTTTTTAAAACCACAGAGCAGTGGCAAGTTGTTGTTGTTGTTATGTGACATGGCGCTGACTCCTAGTTACCTTATATAGGGTTTTTCAAGGGCCGGCTGGTGGGTTTGAATTGCTGACCTTGTGGTAAGCAGTCAAGTGCTTATCTTATAGCATCACACCAGGATTCCTATATTATAGAGGCAGCGGTGGTGGTTGGTTTCAACTCACAGCGATGCATAATAGGGTTTCTAATTGTGAGGTTGGTCCAGGATCGGGCAGTGTTTCATTCTGTTGTGCATAGGGAAGCTATGAGTTGGCACTGATTTGATGGCACCTAACAACAACAACAATAGGTTATAAATCTTTACAGGAACAGAAACCTTCATCTTTTTCCTACCCAGAGACTGGTAGAGTCAAACTATTAACCTTGTTGTTAATTACAAGCCCAGCTTGTAATTTGCTAAGTTAGCAGGACTCATACATTATAGTTGTTGAGTGCCTTCTAGTTGATTCCAACTCATAGCGTCCCTCTATAGAGTTTTTGAGGAGAGTCTGGTGAGTTTGAATCACCTACCTTGCAGTTCAAATTGATCTTATAATCAAGTGTTTATTCTATGGTGCCACACCAAAACTCGACATTATAGCAGTAGCTACTATTTCTAAGTGATAATATATATATATATGACAAGCATCATTACAAAATCTCAACCTTTGTTAATAATTCTAGCAATATTATATGATTAATGGTATAAATCATAAATAAAGAACTCACTCCGCCATTTGTCTTACAGTTTGTTGTACTATGGTGTCTTGCATGTTGTTGTGATGCCGGATGCTAATCCACTAAATCTACTAAAATACCCTGTTGGTATTTTAAATAACAGCACGGTCATCCATCAAACACAGGTTTCAGCTGAGCTTCCAAAGTAAGTCAGAATAGGAATAAGGACAGGCAAACTACTTCTGAAAGTTTAGCTACTGAGAGCCTTAGAAATAGCAGCAGAATGTTGTCAGATATAATATCAGAATAAATGAAAACTTTATGAATAGCATACAAATATTGTCATATGGAGTGCCGGAAGATGATCCCTTCAGGTAGGAAGGCACTCAAACCATGACTGAGGAAGAACTGCCTGCTCAAAGTAGAGTTGATTGCAATGACACAATTGGAGTAAACTTTTCGGGACTTCATTTAATGATGGAGCCCAACTCAAAATCAGGAGGAATAGTTGCAAATGCTCATTAATAATTAGAACATGGAATGTACAAAGTATGAGTGTAGGGAAACTGGCAACTGTCAAAAATCAATGGACTATATGAAGATAGATATCCTAGGCATTGTTGTTGTTTACCGCTGTCAAGTCAGTTCTGACTCATAGCAGCAACCTTTCATAGGAGCAGTTGGTGGGTTTGAACTGCTGTCTTTGTATTAGTGACTGAACTGGACAGGTATTGGCCATTTTGAATCTGGCAATCATATGGTTTACTATGCCACAGCAACAAACTCAAGAAAAATAGTATAGCATTGATCATCAAAAAGAGTATTTCAAGATCTATTTTGAAATATAGTTGACAGAATCATTATCCATACAGCTATAAGTTTAGACCAGTTAAAACCACTTATTCAAATTTACACACCAACCAGTAAAGTCAGTGATAATGAAAGTGAAGAATGATACCAACTTCTTTAGTCTAAAATTGATCAAACATGCAACCGAGATGTATAGATAATTGCTGGTGATTGAAATGTGAAGGCTGGAGACAAAGAAGAAGCATCAGTGATGGGAAAATATGGCCAGGGTGATAGAAACAATGCTCAGAACTTTGCAAGACCAATGACTTCTTCATTGCAAATACTTTTTTTAAACAACATGAAAGATGACTATACACATGGACTTCACCAGATGAAATACAGAGAAATCATTATAGTAGTGATAATTATGTGCCTAGTGTGGTGCTATACAGTAAGCACTGGTTGGAAGCTCAAACCCAACGGCTGCACCTTGAAAATCCCATACGGGGTTGTTATGAGTCGGTACCAACTTGATGTCACTTAACAACAACAATATATGTTCTAGGCATCATTACTAAAGATCAAACTTTGTTAACAATTCTAATAACAGCTATATAACAGGTATTGTTAATTTCATTTCTGTTTTACAGATGACAAACTGAAATCTGCAGAAGAGTTAAAATAATATGGAAAAGACTTGCACTCCTTTTTACAATGTTGACATAAATCACAGTGAATAATGCTTTTATTTTTAGGAGAAAGAACAAAGTTGCTCTACAATTCCCTTTGCCATTTTACCTATCTGAGTTCAAAAGTGTGCTGATACATGTAGCTGGTACAATTTATAAGATAGTGTGTACACATGTTTCTGTCGATCTGATTGCTTGCTTTAGCTTTGCTGGGGCACACCAGTCAGACTTAAGGAAGCTCCTAGAATGTCCTTAATTGATTTTTGCATGTCCCTTTGGACATCTCTTTTTGTCTTCACAACCACAAAATTGAATCTCTTGTAGATCCCACAGTTCATTGTGAACATCTGCTAACATCAAGAGTCTAGTAGTTGAAAAGTGGGGGGAGCTGTAAGAACGTTCATGATTGTCCCAGTTAATTTTGGAATTTAAGAAATGTGGTGCTTTTAATATTCCAGGCCTGGGCCTGGAAGGGATAACCACATTTAGCCACTAGAGGTCCTAGTCACTCTCATTATGGGTTGGAAACTGATTTTTTTTTTCTTCCGTTGGCATGTTAATACAAGAGGCTGGGTCATGCTAATTCTCTTTTTAAGATACATGGTTGAATCAGATTGATGGGTTCCTTGATTTATCAGAGGCCATTAGACTTAAGTGACTCAAACTGTAGGAAAGAAGGGAACTTATTGTCTTCAAAGTATGTTGTAAGTATTTCATAGTGTTCAAATACTGCCTCTTTAGGTGTTAATTCAAAACTGAAGACAAATTGGATTCAGTGAGTGTGAAGAAAAAATATGAGCATGTAACTAATAGTATAATTATTTCAGTTTTCTTATACTATAGTTTCTGAAACTGTAAAAATATAAATATAAAAAGCATAAAAGACAATTACAAATCTTTAGTTTATCTAGCAAGGAAAAAAAAACCACCAAAAATAAATTGCATAGAAACAGATCATTTCACTATGAGGAGGTATGCAGGAGTACGGAAGTCTTAAGATCCATCTCTATTTTTGGTATTGTCTCAACGATCTTGAAACAACCTTGTGTTGAGGAAAGAGGCCTTCTGGCAGTCTTTATATTCAAACTCATCCATATACTCTCTGAACCATCAAGATTCTCCACTCAAATAATACAAGTATTTACAAAATGCCACACTTTGCCTAGGTTGTGAGAAGACTAGAAAAATCAATATGAGTCAAAGTCTGATAAAATTTTTTAGTTAGGCATCTGTAGCTGATAAAATGTGATGTGCCCATTGTAGGCATGAAGCAATTTCAATCTAACCATTTGCCAAAAGTTCCCCAAATGAACCACAGCTGAATTTGCTCATGTTCCCACCCTGTCTCATGAAGCTGCTCCCACACATGTCCAGCTCTGGGAGTGTTCCTCTCTTCTCCATTTCCTCCACATTCTTGAAGTCCTACTTCTCCCATCAACCACTGCTTTCTGACTCTAGCCTCCCGGGCTGGTTCATTTAACCCCTACAGTCCTGGTAGTCTGTATTTCTTTGTATGACATCATATTTTACTGTCAATATGGCCACCTACAAGTATATTGGAAATCTTGTTGTGGCATTGCTGGATAAGCACTGGGCTGCTGTATGTAGAGTCGGTGGTTCAACCCCACCAGCTGATCCTCTGAAACAAGTCTGCTGTGAGTTGTGACTGACTCAACAGCACTCAACAACAACTATGTTAGGTTTGTATCCTTTAGCATACTTATTCACTCTGAATGCTGAGCAAATACGGTGAGAATCTGAACTATATGAAGAAAAACACAACAGCATCGGATTACAGGAAGGCTCATTTAAAGCCTGTGATATCCAGATGACAACATTACTTGCTAAAGCAAAGAGGACTTAAAGTACTTAGTGAAGACAATAAAAGACATTTACTATGGATTACACCCAAAAAAAGGAAGAAGAAAAAAACCATAAATCCTCACAACTGGACCAATGAGCAACATCATGATAAATAGAAAAAGACTGAAATTGTCAAGGATTTCAATTCCCTGGTACCCACAATTAATGCCCACAAAACCAGCAGTCAAGAAATCAAATGACATATGGCATTGGGCAAATCTACTGCAAAAGATCTAAAGTGCTTTTTTAAAAAGCAAAGATGTCACTGTGAGTGCTAAAGGTCACCTGATCTAATTCATGGCATTTTTCAACCACCAGATGAAAACTATACAATGAATTAAGAAGACCAAAGAGGACTAGCTGCCTTGAATAATGATACTGGTAAAGAATATTTAATATACCATGGACTGCCATAAGGACAAACATATATATCTATATATCTCTATATCTATCTGTCTATCTGTCTGTCTGTCTGTCTGTCTGTCTGTCTATCTATTGGAAGTACAGCCAGAATGCTCCTTAGAAGTGAGGATGGTAAGACTTTACCTCACATACACTGGACATGCTTTCAGGAGAAACCAATCCCAAGATAAGGACATTATGCCTGGGAAGCTAGAATGTCAAGAAAAAAGAGGAAGACCCTCAATGAGATGGATTAAAATAATGGCCACTATAATGGGGTCCTGTGGGACAAAGATGAGGCTTTCTGCTCTTGTGAAGAGTTACAGCCCTGGAAACCCTATGCAGGATCTCTTTGAGTCAGAACCAACTCCACAACTCAAAACCAATCAACCAACCAACCATAGTGGGTTCCAACATAGTA